TAAATGCTTACTTTGAATGGTTATGTAACAAAGTCATAAGAATTGATATAAAATTAGGCAACATAACAACATAGATAACATTAATCCAATATGAACCAACACCGCCATCATTGACACAACAATCATCATAACCCAATTCTCATCATCAATCACATTCAAGCATAACCATTATTCATAATATGATGCATTCATATAGCATTTGAAAGAACGGAACCATAACATAAAGGAAGATGAACGTTTTTGTTCTATTTCTTTGTTTATTAAACTTACTTTTCACTTTACTTTCCTAAATTCTTTTCCTTAGGTTCTTATTTAGCTTTCCATATTTGGTCTTTACCAAATTAAGTATCATTTAATTTTCCGATCTAACTAAGTATTATTTTATTGATTTAGGAGATTCAATTTTGGTTTGAGCCTTAATGGGCCTAATTCTAAATATTCTTTTCAGCTTTTAGTAATTATTTCTCATTCTCAAAATATATATATATATATATATATATATTTATTTATTTATTTATTTATTTCACACGATTTTAATATTAAACTTTTATTACATTCCTATTTTAGCGGCTACTGTGCATTGCATTTTTATTTTAGTGATTAAAGTTTTATCATGTTTGATTTTTATCCCGACTATACTAAAACTAAATAAAGTTTCACTATCCTAAGCTCTTTTTTTTTTTTTTTTTTAAGTTAAACTTTTCTTTCTATTATAATTCCTATTTTATGATTTTTTTTCTTTTTTTTAGCCATTGAATTTAGTAGAATTTTGTTTTTATTTTAGTCTATGTTTTGTAATTGTTTTTTATTTTGATCATTACATTTTTATTATATTTGATTTTTTCCCTACAAGGAACTATTTTTTACTTTTAGCAAAAAATTTTATTATGTTTTTATTTTTATTTTTTGATCTTTCTTTTATTTTGATCATTAAAGTTTTATTATATTTGATTGTTATTCTTTCTACACCGAAATTAAATACAGCTTTCACTATTTTAAGTTTTTTTTTTTTTGCTTTTAGTAAAAAATATTTTCTGTTTTAGTTCTTATTTTATGATTTTTTTTATTTTGGTAATTAAAATTCTATTATATTTTACTTTTGTTCTTGCCTTATGTATAATGAATTTTTTTTGGTCTTATTGTTTATAAGTTTTTTTTTCTTTGAGTGAAAGTTTTTTATTTATTTTGATCCTTCTTTTATGATCTTTACTTTGTTTTGATCATTTAATTTTTATTATGTGTAATTTTATCTCTCTCTATCTCTTTCTTTCTTTCTTTTTTTTTTTTTTGCTAGATTCTTGATTTGATAAAGCTTTTTTGTCTTTTTGTTTTAGGTGGTCTCTCTATCTCATTAATAAATTACGGATAAAAAATAAATGATAATAATTAATCATTTAAAGTTCAAAAAACTACTACGTCATTATTTTAATTATCAGTTATTATACATATTTATAATAAAATACATGTTTATATCAAACAATATCTAATTAACAATATTATATTACTCAATTTTGCGAGTTTTCGTTTAGCTAATCATACAATAAAATATAAGATATAGGTTTTAGCTTTTTTTAAAACAAAAAAATTTTCACATGATCCTTTTATATAATTATTTTAAAATTTTATATTTTATATGAATGAATATATAAGAATATTATATAGCTCATTTACCTAAGTAATTTATATTTTTTAGTGTAGTCCATAAATATGGTAATATCAACAGTGTAGTCAATAAATAATGTAGTAGGCTAAATTTACTCACCAATTTTTTATGCACACGCTTAGAATTATTATTCCTCGTTTCCATATTAGATAAAGAATTATTAATTGTTTTTATTAGACAAATATTATTAAAGTTACTTACGAAAATTCTTTAGTATTTTAACAATATCGACAATTCTGTATTCTTTTTACTTAAGTTGAGTCGTATGTACTACTTTATAATCATATTAATGTAGCTCTGCGCCTCCGCCACTGGTAGGCGGTCAAAATCATCCTTCCGGTGGGGGGAATAAGGGGGGAAAAAAAACAGAAATAGAAATTATTCACTGCGAAAAGGTTTTTGAAAAATGTCCAAGGGTTAAACTTGCACATCAAAACACAATATTTGTTTTTCGTTTCTGTTTTTTAAAAATTGTTATAAAAATCTTCAATAATCATTCTAAGGTTTTTTTTTTAAATTTAATTTCTCGAATTGCTAGTTCTTATATCGTTGTTTTTCAAAATTATTTTAAATATTTTGAAATAAAAAAATACAAGAAACAATAATAATATCAAACCAGTCCTAAAAATTTGCATTCAACTGTTGGGATTTTTAATTCTCTACAAATGTGACTTAAATTTTCATTCTTCTCTTGACTTTTTAAATTTAAATCCTAACACCAATATCCAAAAAAATAAAATAAAAATTGTTATCTTGAGTATGCGTTTTTAAAATTGTTTGAGGAAAAAACTTCATTTTGATTGACCTACAAGCTCGTGTGATGATATTCTGACCATTACGGATTAAAAAAAAAAAAAAAGGAAAGTAGTGATAATTAATTTGACAATTTATTGGAATGAAAATTACAATTTATTAAACTATAAATATATATTTTAATTAATTTATATGTCAATCAAGATTAAATCTTTTATTAAATTATTTAAATGACATACTCTTTGTTTGTATCTGTACATTCAGAAAAAAGTTAATAATTTTTCTGAATATTGATCTCAAAATTTAATTAAAAACACAAATTACCTTACCTGCCAAGCCAAACTCTCAAAGTTAATAGAAAAGTTATCATATGAAAAAAAAAGGATAGAAATATAATGGATATAAAGAAACAACATAAACAAACTAAATATCAAAATTAATTAATCTTTTTTAAGAAAAAATATACCTGAAAATGATGTAATATTGTTTCTAAATCATTAATAAATAAAGAGCCTATATTAATTTAAATAAAAAATGAATTAATACATAAATTGATATAAATATCTTCTTAAAATCTGATTATACGATTAACTTCATATTAAATAAATTTCCAATTATTACATAAGTTGAAATTTTTTTATAATACTTAAAGAATTAATTAATTTACATGTCACTAGTTACTATTATGTATGTAGTTATTCTATAAATCAACTTGATAGAAAAAGATAGACACATAAAATTATATATGGATCCATTAAAAATAATAAAAAGATTTTCATATTCGTTCAATTTTTTAATTTTCTCTTCTCTTATTATCATTATTATTTATAAAATAATTATTATATATGTCATTAGTTATTATTTAAATATTATAAAATTTATGGTTTCTAAATACATGATTAAGTGATTATTTAAAACTAATAGAAAGGAAGTATTGTTAACCCCGAGAGAAGGAAAGTTACCTAAGAAAGGAATAAAAGAGAGATAAAGATATAAAGTAACCATGGTTAGGAGGGCATCGAAGTTCGGAAGACACGGAATATTAACCATGGTTAAGGAAAATGAGTTTAGTTTTCTGATGATTGTAGTGCTAGGCCCTTTTGGGGGATGTGTCTCTATATAAACAGAATTTCAGAAGCCAAAGAACAGCAGCCATCATCATCATCATCATCATCTACGAAACAAATCGCGTATGACGCATATAAAAGTTTGATAATCTCATGAATTTGTCATATTTTTAGTCTCTTAGCTTGTTCTTGATGCTTATTTATTTCTCTCTATAGAGACCAAGACAGGAACTTCAAAGCTCCCCTAGTGTAAGTCTCTGTCACTTATGTTTCCAGTTTGGAATTTATTCTATGAGTCTTCTTCATAGTTTCTTTTGTGGGTATTCTTTGAAATGTAATTTGATGCTGTAAAAATAAGGAAAGGCCTTGTCTTTTTGAATTCTATGGAAACTGCTAGATCTCTAGTCACCCTTCCAAGCATTTTTTTTTTACTGGTTATTTTGATTTTGTGGGATTGATTTGGAATTTTTGTGATTTTGGGGAGCTTCTCATTTTCCCTACAATTGGTTTTGATCTTCAATTTTTTTTACCAAATGCGGCAGGAAGTATATATCAAGTTCTGAGTCAGGCCTAGATCTTTAGTGTTGGAAAAGTTTACCAATCTATATATTGTTGCAGTGATCTGTGCAGTATGTTAAATGTTAGTGAATTATATGATTTCTTGTTTTGAGTCCTTTAATTTTGTAATCAGAAGGTTTAATTTCTCCATTGGTCGAGAGACTTTGATTCTTTAAACCTAGTATATAGGCTCAATCCAATCTCTCCATGACACTAATTTTCCCTTGAGCGTGGTCTATAGTCTATGCAGGCTTCAATCCAACCTCTCCATAGAGGTAGCCTAGCGGGGCTGAGGGGCTATCAATTAATACCATACTAATAATGTACATTAAAAATCACCCCTTGTATTCAACAGGAAGATGGAGGATTATTTGATTGATCATTCTGTTTTTTATGTTCCCCAGTAACATTTTCCTTACTGTGTTGTGGATTTTATTGCAGGTTGTCGACTTCTTCCTCAGGTTATTTGCTAGTCAATCACTTAACCATAGTCAAAAACTCCGTTTATATGTCACGAGGTATTTTGATCGACCATTCTTTTTAAATTTTTTTTGCCATCTATTGAATCCCTTTTCTCTTTGAGGCAAACTTTGGTTTTTCAGTTTCCATCTTTAGTTTTCTATTTCTCTATAAATTTTTTCTTGTAAAACTAGAAAGTTTTTCTTAGTTATAACTTCAATTCGCTTCTTAATATCATGGCTTCATCAGCTGTCTATCATCTTCTAATTTTGGGTGTTGTAACTGGTTTTTATGGCATTACAGATTTCACATCACCAGCAAATAAGGAAACATACGGTTTTCTACATTTGCTTCAACTGTGATTGATCAATATCCGCCTTTGGCTTCCATAACATCCATTGGAACACACTGTTTGAAGAATCTTTTGTTAGCTTGAGCTTTTCAGAATCACTGCAACAAAACCAAGTCCCCACCAAAACTTCAATTTTGTTGCCCAAAAAATGGGTCTATCAAGTCTGCCAGCTCCATCTGAAGGAGTACTATGTCTGCTTTTAGTAAACACTGCCTTATCAATTTCAATTGTCAAAGGAATAGTCCGTTCAATCCTGCACATTGTTGGCATCCGTTTGTCGCCTTCCTCCCCATCTGCTTCACTCCCATCATCAGATAACTCTGAAGACACCAGAGAGTCGTTTGAAATTCATTTTAGCCCCCCAGATAATTACATTGAGGAGTTCCGAAGCAGGATGCCGGCAATCCGATTCAACACGGTGTGCAGCTGTAAACTGCCTGAACATGACTGCTCGGTTTGTTTGAATCAATTTGAGCCAGAATCAGAGATAAATCGCTTGTCATGTGGCCATCTCTTTCATAAAGTGTGCTTGGAGAAGTGGTTGGACTATTGGAACTATACATGCCCTCTTTGCAGGACTTCTTTGATGCCTGAAGAGGATACATCTTGCTTTTGGTGAGCACATACTAACATGTGTGCCTAGTCAGAGGAAATGTCCTTGTACAGCGTGTAGTGTACAGGTATTTACTTGAGTGCATCAAGCAGGACATAGTGATGTATACTTAGTGCGTGAGATTAAGCATGATGTGTTGATGGGTCCTTCAGAGACCAAAAATTTTATTGTACATATTGTGAAGTTCATAATGTTTAACGTATTTACCTGACTTTGATCTCTAACCCTTTTTTTTTTCTTGATCTTTCCACACAGTTTTACTTTTCTTAGCTGACCAGAAGGTTGGAATATAATGTATGGGTAAACTAGGTAGTATTTCGAAAGCTGCTTGTATGTTATTACCTTTTTGAGGGAGCTCAATTTTCGCTGTGGTTACAGAGGTCATCAGGAATAACTTACGCTGCCGCTGGTGAACAGCTAAGAACATTAATCACTAGCTTAAACTGGCAGATCTTCGCCCAGCACCTAGGTATCGAGATCAACATTGGGTCATAATGTCAGTACGTGAATCTATGTTTCTGGGGAAAAGGAGGATGTAGCTTCTGAAGCAGGCGATGCCAGATTTTTTTTTAATTGTATCTCATTATTTTTTTTTATTCATTGAGGTTCAATGAATCTATTGAACGACGTGACGAGGGTAACTCTTTCTAATGCATAACCATCAAAGAAATTGAAGTCATCATGAACAACCACAGCCAATGCCAGATAACTAGGGCGCTTGCTACTTTTTGGCATGGAGCCAAAAACATCAATTCTGGGCTGTTCATATCACAATAAATTTGATTAAAACTGGCTCTTATCTTGTTACACCGAGCTGCTTACCGACACTGCTCGTGCCAAAGGCGAATCTAGGTTGACTTCTCTTCACAAAGTAAGGCATGACATCAGAAGACGAGGAAGCTGGTCCTGATTTCTTACCACAGATAGTTCCATACTAACATTCAGACAAAAAAAGATGAATGTATGACAGCTGAAGAGTTCGTGAACCTCGGTTGGTGATGCGTATGGTGGTTTTACCTTTGGTTGATGGAATAGCTGAAGAGTTAGATGGTCGATTGTGAGCGAATTGATTGAAATACCTGCCAAACAAGTATTTCTTGGTGGATAAAAGGTTTATTTATTTATTTATTTATTTTATGGTGGTTTGAGTAGATTTGTATGTAACAAGGCAAGAATCTAAAAGATGATAAATAGTAGTTAGTAGTTGTTTGCCTACGCTACGTTGCAGATTCGATAAAAATAATTATTTTAAAATTTTAAAATTATTTGTTATAATTTTTTATTTAATTAATTTTTTAATAAATTTTTTACTTAAAAAAATATAAATCATTCTTCTTTATGTATTGATTTTAAAATAAAAAAAATATAATAATTTTAACTAAAATATTAATCTAGAATTAAAAAACTTTAAAAATATAATTTTCTTAATATTGTATTCCAAAAAATAAATTTATAAAAAACTAACAAATAAAAAAAAATTCTTATTTAATGCTAATGAGAAGATTAATTTTTAAAATTATCCATGAAATGCTATGGGTAGATAGAACAAAATCATTTAAAATTTTTATAATTTTTTCATTATTTTATATTTAATTATTACATTTTTTTTTGTGTTTTTCATAAATTTTTTTGCTTAAAAAAATGACTTATTCTTCTTTATGTAAGCACTCTTAAATAAAAACTTGTAATAATTTAAACCTGAAATATTAATTAAGAATTCAAAAGCAAATACTTTAAAATTATCTTTTTTTATAAAAATGTATCACAATTAATGTATAGATTTGCATTAAAATTAACTAATGAAAAAAAAATTATTCTTATTTAATGTTGGCGAGAAGATTATTTTTTAAAAATATATACATTAGATCTATATATGTTTATTTACAAAATAATCAACAAAATTAGCATAAAAAACTATATTTGAATAATTGGTTGGTTCCTTTAAAAATTATTTTAATTAATTTATTACAAATAAGTTTGTTGTATAATGTTAAAAAAATATTCATAGAAAATAATTTGTATTATGTTGGAAGATGTATAGTTAATTTTTAACAAAATCAACAATTCAATATTTTTTTATATGTTTTGACCATACCTAGTGAAATGAGATAAATTAATTGAAATACACTTTTAACCTTTTAGAATAAAATAATTATATATGTATATATGCGCAACTATCATTTAAAAATTCTTAGAATTCATGATATATATTAAACTAATTTATCTTTTAAAAAGAAAAAAAATCATATTTTAAAATTTTATTCTAAAATTAAAATATAGAGAAAAATAAATTATATTTATCAATAAATAAAATCTTATATAAAAAAATATTAATTAGATGAGAATTTTCAAAAAAAGAAGATAAATTCAAAGAATGAAATTTAAATGATATGAGTAATATAAGTCGACGTATATGTTAATTTTAAAATATTAAAAGATATAGTATGTGTGTGTGTGCGTGCATACTGTGTGAAAATGAAAGAAAAATAAAAATTAAGGATTGAAAAAAAATGTTACAACATAAGGGATGAAAAATAGAAAAGAGTATTAAATTTACATATTAGTGTCCAAAAACACAAAAAAAAAAATGACACAAAAATTACTTAAATTGTCAACAAGTGAATAATAATTTTATGCATAGGAAAAATGAGTGAATAGGAATTTTACACATATGAATAATTCGGATTCTCGTGCTACGTCGCGAACCAAAGTAAACATATTTATTTCAGTTTGATAATATATACTATGTTACCGGTCAATTTAAATATATTAAATTAAATATAAAAGATAAAATTTCATCTAATTTTATAATTTTTTTTAAAAAAACATGTGTGTGTGTGTGTGTGTGTGTGTTTGAAGTAAAAAAGATATGATTTGTTCTTTATTATGCATTTATTCTTAAATAAAGCCCATAATAAACAAATTTTAATATAAATGTTTTTTAAAAAAACATCTTGATATTTTTTTCATTATATTGCATCGAACAAATAAAGCAACAATTAATATAAAAACTTATATGAAAATTAATAAATGAAACTTTTTTTCTAATGAGAAGATTATTTTTTAATATATAAATATTTGATTTATATATATTTATTCACAAAATAATGGATAATATTGGTTTACAAAATTGTATTAGAATTATTAAGTAGTTATTCTAAAATATTATTTTATTTGAAAAAATCATTTTAAATATGAAAAAAAAGCAAATAGTTGATATTGTGTGTGTACATGCATAGTTGATTTTTAATAAAATCAATAACTAATGTTATTATTTTTGATATATCATGATCGTACTCAATAGGTGAAAATATATAAAATAAATTAAAAATATTTTAAAAAAATAAATGATAAAATATATATTGAAGTTAATAGAGTGTAGTAAAAATTATAAAACTGATTTCAATAAAATTTGATTATGTAAAAAAATAAGAAAATAAAATACATATATTCAATTTTTAAAATTTAATTATATAAAAATTAAGTAAATAAAAACATATATTAAAAAAACTTATTCAAATCCATAAATAGAAAAAATAAGTCATATTTATTAATAAATAAAATTATAAAAAAGAATAAAAATTAACTTGATGAGAATTTTTTTCAAAAAAATCAATTTTATACAATAAGAGTAGGTTATATTTATTCTAAAATCCAAAAAGATATCGTATATATTATATAATCATCGGTTTAAGTGAAAAAAGGTAACGATTGAATTTTTAAAATTTTAACACCTAATTAAATAAAAACAGAACATAAATTGACGAAAAAAAGTAAAGAAAAAAAAAGGCATAAGTAGCATTATATAATCGTTAGCTTGTGTGGAAAAAAGTAATGATTGATGTTTTAAAATTTTAACACCTAATTAAATAAAAAAGAACATAAATTGATGAAAAAAGCAAAGGAAAAAGAAAAGAAAAGAAAAAAACATGAGTAGCGCATTAGATAAAGGATTAAAATTTTTATTTTAAAATTTTAGAGAAGAAAATGAAATAACTTGAAAATTTAAAAAAAAATAATAAAAAAGAACCTAAGAGATCAAAACAAAACAACCTAAAAATTTAAAAAGAACCTAAGTTGATGGAAAAAAAAGACATGTATTCAAAACAACTTGAAAAAAAAAAGAAAAAATTGAACGAGTACTCGAAAAGAGAGAGAGGTGAACTTGAAACAAAAGAAAAAAAGAAAGAAAAAAAAGAAGAAAAGCCGAGGAGTAAAAAAAAAAAAAAAAAGAGGCAAAAAACAAAGGATGTGAACAATCTACAAATGCTTATTCGGAGTCGAACCCGTGTATAGGCTTGGAAGGCAAGTATGCTAAACGTCGGTCTACAAACAGTTTCTTGTGCATCAATTACATAATATATATATAGCAAAAGGTGAACAACATCGTACGCAGACGTAACCCCACGTCTTTTAGATATATAGTAATGAGTTCAAAAATTCTTAACTCGAAATGTTAAATTTCATGTTTTTTATATAGCCAATGATTTTGTCAAATTACATGAAAAAAAGAGATATAATATTTTATTCCTTTGATGCCATGAGTATCTATTATCTATATGACGAATATATGCTTTTGATGTTTACATAACTTGTCTTTGAAAAGTGTGGTGACGTCATAGTTATTACCAAAAGATAAGGTGCGAGAATCTATAGAGCAAATAGGCCTCTATTATGACCTTCGATCCTCAAGGAACTCGTTCATCCATCTCGTTTCTTCTTCTTGTTCTATGCTAATACTACAAGTTAGTTAGGTTATTTTAAACTCAAAACTAAAGTACATTGCACTTATAAAAGAATTTTATGAAATTTGTTGTATTTAAAGTACTTCCATCGTATTTATGTATGTTGAAACAATTGAAACTATGACATGTAGAATTACTATAGAATTTTATAAAAGTTTTTATATTTTATTATCTTCATTAGAAACAATGATTACAATATATTGAGTGAGAGGATGTAACAACTCGTCCTAAAAATAAGCTTAAATTAGTAATTTATATATC